GATCGTCTTACCCTTTCTTCTGGAGTCTAATCGGGCTCTGAGATCTACTTCTTCCCTTACGGGATGCCTCCTGAAGTCTCTGGGTTCGTCGGTAAGCCCCTCGTTTCCTGGGCGTCGTGTAGATTGGGTTGAGTCCTCCTCGGATTCATCTCCCTTCCTCCGTCTGGATAAACCTCGCCGGAGGTCGTCCAGGGCCAATGGCCTTGCTTTCCTGGAATGGTTGTCAAGATGGCATTCGCCGGCTTTGGGTCGCTTCGGGGCCCTGGAGCTTTCTGCTTTGTGATCCAGGTGGTTTCTTAGATCCTTTGTCTCCGCCTCATGGACGGGGAGTCCTCGGGAGAGGAATGAATCCCTCGACCCTCCGCCTGAGGCAGCAAACTCGTCGAGCCGGCTAAGGACGTTTACATTGTCTTTCTCCAGCTGACGTAATCTATCGCCAAATTTCTCTTCTATCACCTCTGCCAGCTGACGGGCCAAGGGGGCTGATCCTCCTGACCTGATCCCCATACTGGTTTGGGGGGTTACCCCCCTTGACCGAGTAGAGGCACTTTTAATCGTACTGGTCCGATCTCTCCCCCGTGATGGCAGGGAGCTTGCAACTCATGATTCCTTTGGTAGGGTCCCTTCCCTTTCTGTCTGGTGTTCACCATGGTCACTGTTCTTTATAGAGAAAAGATTAGGAAAACTACTCGTTTCCCACAGACGGCGCCAGATTGTGCGTGCAAGATCCTGCACAATATAAAAAATATTGGGAACAGCTCTCTCCCCTGGTGAACTTTGAGTGAGCCGGTTGAGTGGCCAAACACACTGCTTGAAACAGCCTACAAGGAACGGTGGCAACCTGGAACGGCAAAGGAAGATCCTGGGAAAGGAAGAACGATCCTGTACGTGTGAAAGGTATTTCCTGGAACAAAGGAGAACAAGTTAGAAGGGCGCCGGAGTGTTTTCCGGCGTATCCCCTCCGACGGTCTAGTCAGTCTTTGAATGAGAGAGAGGAAGGAGAAAACACTGATAAGGATATTTTGTAGTAGTGAGTTTGTGATTGCCCCCCGGCTTTGCCTTTTGGGAGGAGTATTTATACCTTAGAAGCTCATGATTGCTGTCAGTGTGGTCAGCAGGTGATCATCAGGCACAGGTAGCTTGTGTATTGATTTGATGAGGAATGTCTTCTCTAATTGATTGCTCGGGGTCCCGAGCAATCAATTCTGAGCCGTCGGGACGCCGACGGTACAATATGATCCTTTCGGGAAGGATGCAATAAATGCTCTGTAATAGGAGCATTTATTGCCTTTCATATCCGAACCTTACCGCATTGAATGCGGTCTCGTCAACAGAAGGGTGCAATTAATTTGTTTGCTTTCCCAAGTCGCGTGTCAGCGACGGCATGCGGTTTGTCTGCTTCTGATGTGATATTATTTGCCACGCGTCCATCCCTTATTGGCTGTGACGTCGGTATTCCAGCGTGTTCTGACATTACTTGTGTTAAGACGAGGTTATGATGAATAGTCCAGACTGGCATAGGCTGATGTCCCGTACGTCAGTAGCTTTATCCGGGAGTAGAGAAAGCGTCCAGGATGGAGTGACCCTCGGCACCGAGGAAAGACTCACCTCGGGGACCGAGGGCGGTATGTTTCCGAGCTACACGGTGACCGAGGACACGTGTTGTTGTAAAATGTACCGAATAAGTGATCCTATATGAGAGGTACCTTGGGGGAGAGGACGCCTTTTGCCGATGGTGCTTGAACCCGAGCAACATTGTTCTAGAAACCCCGAGGACACGTGTCTTCATCATAGGGCTTTTCAGAAGAGTCCCATCAAAGCCTTAAAAACTTTGTTTGGTTAGAGGTGTTAGGACCGGGATTTAGAGAATTTTTAGTCTAAGGCACGAATGCTGCATACTATAGTTGATTGAAGCCCACATATGTAGGTTTAGGTTTGAGCAAACTTGAGGGAGGTTTGGATTTGAAGGATGGGTAGCCTGGATGAGTACGTAAAACCATGTTCGTACTCCAAACATGAATATGAATTATATTGGACAATGAACAATTTTATTAATTCCATATAAGCAAATGATCATAATGGTTGCGGTTGATTTAACATCTATCTGTACTAACGTACGCGGGAAAAAAAAAATAAATTGTGGGTCTCATGTGAACTTAAATAAACTTAAATAACTCGAATACTCTCAAATATCTTCAAGAAATTATTTGGAAGCACGTTGCTTCCCCACTCCTCTAAAAAAAAGAGTCCCCCTCTTTCACCATAATTTTGGTTGAATAATTAGGATCAAATGAAATTATTCCATTCGAATGATTTCTCGTAAACATTCACAATAATATGGATAATATTGAATAATTATCAAAATATTACATTATATTGTTTTTCAAATTGTAGAAAAAACTAGAAGCAAACAAGTTGTAGCTAACAATTCTAAATTGGGTAAATCTCACTCACACCCCCTAGATTTAAGTAATTTTTATTTACACGCCCTCTGATTGTTAAAATATCACTGCACACCCCTATAATGTATATAACATTCCACAAACCACCCCTGTCGTCTATGCCGTTAGTGACAACCAACAAAAGTTGTGATGTAGTAATGGCTTATTTTCTTGGGAGTTATCAATTTTACCATTGACCATATAGCACTTACTACTTAAAAGTAGTGGACATCATCTCATATTAATTTGGTCACATTAATTGTTAATTGGATTAAATTGAACGTCAATTTGATCAAATTAAACATTAATTTAAAAAAAATAATAAAATTAAATGTTAAATTCATAAAATTGAATGTTAATTTAATACAATTGAAAGTATATTTTATATTAAATTAAAGAAATGACATTAATTTAATAAAATTAAATGTTCGATTCTTGAAATTGAATGTTAACTTTATAAAATTAAATAAAAATTTAGTATTGATCGATGAAAATGAAGGTTAATTGGGGATTAAATTAAGGAAATGTTGTTAGTTTGATAAATTGAATGTTAAATTGATAGAATCAAATGTAAATATGACAGAATTAAAGGTTAATTTTGTGTTAATTTGATAAAATTTAAGACTAATTTTATGTAAATTTGGTAATTTGATGAAATTGAAGTTCAATTTGATGAAACTAAATCCTAAATTAAATAAATTGAATGTTAATTTGTCAAAATTGAATATTATTTGGTGTTAATTTGATAAAATTAGTATTTTAATAAATAAAATTAAATATCAATTTGATGAAATTGAAGTTCAATTTGATGTTAATTTGATAAAACTAAATTTTAAATTAAATAAATTGAATGTTCCTTTGACTTTAATATAATAAAATTAAATTTAAAAATGTTAATTTGATTAAATCGAATATGAATTTGATGAAATTAAATATTAATTTGGTGATAAATTAAATTTAGTATTAGTGTGGTTAAATTGATTATGAATTTGATGAAATTAAATATTAATTTATAGTTAAATTAATAAAATAAGTGTTAGTGTGATGAAATTAATATTCAAATTAATAAAATTAAATATCAATTGGATAGAATTGAAGTTCAAATTGATATTAACTTGATGTTAATTTGATATAGAGGTTTGTAGGGATTAATAATTTATACATATAATATAAGTAAAGGTTAGTAAAATGACGTGATCTATCAAGGATAATTTTGTAAAAGGCCATTTTACGGTTATTGACAAAGAGTGGCAGTGAAATTTTACAAAAACACGGGTTGTTTATGAAATTTTGCTTATATACAAGGGGTGTTAGTGAAATGTACCCTTCTAAATAAGATTTCTAAATTCCATAAAAGATCAATATAAAATAATAATTAGCACAAAACGAAATTAGTCAGACATGACACAAGCCCAACTAAACCTCTCACAAACCCAGATCTTAGACCTTATAAGCCCTGAAAGGTAACCTTTGCCTATTCAAATGCCTCTTTTAAGGCTTGATCCCCTGAGTTCAGTCAATCCAGAGAAATAACCAGTTCTCTACATACATCACTGTGTTCTAGTGGAATAACAATGCACTTTTCAATCCTAGGTTTTGACCATAGTCTAAACAAATAACACCAAAAAGACTTGATGGCTATAAAACACGGACACTCTCGAGAGGTGACGTATTCGTATCGAACACATGTCAGACATCAACACATTTCAGATACTCTCGGATACATGTCCATGCTTCTTAGCTTGATGGCATAGGTGGAAAAAAAAAACAAGATAGATAAAAGGAAAGAAAGAAGACTCACAAACCCGAAAATTAAATAGACCGTCATTCAAAAGTGATCGAGTTTTATGATAGGGTTAATTGCGCAACATGATAACGTGTAAGCATCTGACCATGCACTACACAATGCACATAATTGAAAGCAGAGGCTTTAACAATAACAAACATAGTAAATACCAGCCAACAACAATTCTCTTGCCTGAGAAACTCCGAGGAATATTCATATGTAGAACCCAAAGACGGCAAAAAAGGCACCAAAGGCTGATTTTTCAACACCGTACCAAAAATTATGACTTAACTAGATGAGATTACGACTCAATAGAGTCCCTTGGGATCAAACCTAAAATGTTAGCATCGATCTTAAGTTTTTTTTGAATCATAACTTCACCCGATTGAGTCGTAGTGGACTTTTTTAGATGTAACTCAACTCTAATTGAGTTTTACCTAACCACTATTGACTCGTAACTTTAGGTACCAAACACGATACCACAGCCATTCCGTAGAGCCTAACACACACAGGAGACCACAAAAACCTACACAGGCAAATGTCACAAGAACCCAAAGTGAGCCCAGAAGAGAAGTTCAAAACCTGGGAAACTCTGCATTATGAGCAATCAGCAGTCTTGATAACAGCTTGAAAAACTCTGGTAGGCTCTGTCAAAACTAAGCCCTTAGGGGCTACATCTTCCAAAAACATTGGTGCTTTGCACTCTTCAAACTAGTCATTCCTTGCAGCTTCCTTTCTAAGGGAGCTGATGTTGGTCCCATGGCGAGACTTCTTCAGGACAAGCTTTCTCCTAAAAAGGTGAACACCCTTTTTTTAAATACCCGAGCTAAGTCCACAATTTCAGATTCTCTGATTTGCCGAGTCAACTTGTCAGACTGCCATAGCCATTTGCCTTTGCGGGATAACCTGTTAGCTACATCCAAGGTCAAAGAGGCCACATCTCGGCTGTTCGTTAGTATTCTGAAAACAGGAGTGGAGTACTGCGGATTTGATGCTAGTCTATTCAGAAGGATAAGTGCCTCTCGAATTAGCAAGGTCCTGCCAAAGAAAAACGATTCACGATTTAAGTGGCCAACATAAATAAAAACAGTAAGCTGGAATCAGCAATTTCTTCCTGAATTCACATAACATCCCAGAAAAAGTTTAAGAATAACATATAAATAGATTGAATCAGTGTGTCATTCAAAAAGTTGCAAAGAAGTCAAATGAATGGGAAGTCATTGCAATTTAACCCAAGAAGAATGCATATACGTTATATACAACATAAAGATAACAAAAATAACTTGGGATGTCATATTTGAAAGCATTCGCTGCATTCCATTTTGTTTTAACACGATTACACCAATGAATCTGCGGAGTCAGCCAAAATAAAGAAACTAATAGAGTCATAGGCAAATTTACAAAAACTGATGAAAAGAACATTACGACGAGAACTTCTAAGAAACCATAATGACACTATTTTAGATGATGAGCAAAAGAAGAAGGAACAGATGCACATTTTAGCAAACAAACACAACAGATCTGCTACATACACTAAACATGCATACCTTTCTTTGAAAATTTCAGGCAGCTGAGTACATTCTGATGCTTCAATGTCCATCTCTGATGCCAAAATGTGCAAAATCAATGTAAGAAAGTCACTCCTTTTCGGAAGCCTATGACCCAAGAGAATTTCAAAGCCAGCTTTTCCGGACGATGCTAAGAAAGCCAGAACAATGATAGCATTTCTTCGGAGTTTCAACTCCTGAAAGTTTGACAAATTTGAAAATAAGTAGCATTCCAAACTGAGTATTTAATTGAAGTGAAATAGACAGTAACACACGAAAAAACACATAATGACTCAGATCAGTTCCAGGTGCCACAATTGCATACCTCAAGAAGAATGTACATGTATCTATACATACATATATTGATCGGATCTGCTTACAAACTTATGAACAAAAGGAAAATGTTTTCAAATATGTGGTTGGCAACTGCCTAAGAACTAAGAGGAGATGGCAATTGGGAGGTTGAGATAGGTAACCTACAATCCAACTCAGGAAACAAGAGTGAAACCTCTACTTCCCATTCAGCTACATACATGGCAGGGCATGCCGAGTAAAAGCTAATTATAAAAGCACATAATTCCTGACAAAAAACTGAAGATCCCTTTGGAACTCCTGAACTAGGGGAAGAAAAGGAAAATTGTCAAAAATGCTTTACATGATTAATTTGGAGAACGCCCAAGAACTTTATCTTCCTTTTTCATTTGTTCCATCCGAGATCACAGACCTACAAATGCAACAGGGGGGCCAGCGAATTGAAAAATCTAGAACCAATCACTCGGTCAGTGCGATTTCTAGTTGAGAGCTAATGAAGTGAAACTGCACTAAAATAAAGCCAGCAGATTCAGTGACTATTTGCTTACATGCTTTTACTTCCTGATATACGCCTAGTTATGTTACCATTAAGGGGGGACTAGGTGCAGTAGACTGGATCCTAGAGCTTTCTGCTTTGTTGTTTAGGTGGTTTCTTAGATCCTTCGTTTCTGCCTCCCGGGCGGGAAGCCCACAAGAAAGGAATGAATCCTTCGACCCTTCGCCAGAGGCGGCAAACTCGTTGAGCCGGCTTAGGACGTTTACATTGTCCTTTTCCAGCTGTCGTAATCTATCGCCAAACTTTTCTTCAATCACCTCCGCCAGCTGACGAGCCAAGGGGGCTGATCCCCCTGACCTGATTCCCATACTGGTTTGAGGGGTAACCCCTCTTGACCGAATAGAGGCACTTTTATTTATATTGGTGTGATCCCTCCCTCCGTGATGACAGGGAGCTTGTAACTCGAAACTCCTTTGGTGGGGTCCTTTCCCTTTCTGTCGAGTGTTCACCATGGTCACTGTTCTTTATAGAGAAAAAACTAGGAAAACTAGTCGTTTCCCACAGACGGCGCCAGATTGTGCGTGCAAGATCCTGCACAATATAAAAAACGAGAACAGATCTCTCCCTTGGTGAACTCGAGTGAGTCAGTTGAGTGACCAACCACGCTGCTTGGAACAGCCTGCGAGGTCCGGTGGTAACCTGGAACGGCAAAGGGAGACCCTGGGGGAGCGGAAGAACGATCCAGTAAGGCTGAAAGAGGTCCCTGGAACAAAGAAGAACAAGTTAGAAGGGCGCCGGAGTATTTTCCGGCGTATCCCCTCCGACGATCTAGTCAGTCTTTGAGAAAGAGAGAGGAAGGAGAAAACACTGAGTGTGTATTGTAGTAAAAAGTTTTTTGTTGCATACCCGTCTTGCCTTTTGCAAGGAGTATTTATACCTCAAAAGCTCATGATTGCTGTCAGTGTAGTCAGTAGGTGATCATTTGGTACAGGCAGTGTGCGCACTGATTCTGATGAGGAATGTCTTATCTTCTTAACTGCTCGGGGTCCCGAGCAATCAATGTTGTGTCATCGGGATGCCGACGGTACAATGTACTCCTCTTGGGGAGGATGCAATAAATGTTCTGTATTGGGAGCATTTATTGTTTTTCATTTCCGAGCCTTACCGCATTGAATGCGGTCTCATCAAGGGAATGATGTAATTAATCGTTTGCTTTCCCAAGTCGCGTGTCAGCAACGGCATGTGATTTCTCTGTCTTCGATGTGATATCATACGCCACGTGTCCATCCCCTATTGGCTGTGACCCCTGCATTCCAGTACGTTCTGACACTAATTGTGTAAGACGAAGTCATGATGAATAGCCTAGACTAGCCTAGGCTAATGACATGTACGTCAATAGCTTATCCTGGAGTAGAGGAAGCATCCAGGATGGGGTACCTCTCGGCACCGAGGAAAGGCTCATCTCGGAACCGAGGGAGGTATACCGACCGAGGTACCATATCAGACCGAGGTTACGTGTTGGTTGTAACTCGTACTGAATGCCATGATCTTATATGACGAGTACCTCGGGGGCGAGGACCTTTATGCGCCGATGGTGCTTGATCTTAGCAACAGTGTTTTGGTAAATATCGAGGACACGTGTCTTCATCATGGAGTATTTCAGAAAAGTCCCATCACAATGCACAACTCCTCAAGAAATGTAAGCAACTGTTTTGAACGGCTTCGCTCTCTGCTCGTAATTGGGAAAGTAGGAGAGCTGTACAATTCATCTGTATCTTCGATCTTAAGAGGTGGTTCTAAGTTACTAACAGTGTTGGACTTAAGTGGTGCTTCGTTGGAGACATTCCCCCCTGAAGTTTCAAAATTAGTTCTTCTCAAATATCTAAGCTTGAGGAAAACAAATGTGAAATTCATTCCAAGATTAATTGGAAAGCTTCGAAAACTAGAGACCTTGGATTTGAAATATACAAAAGTAACGAAGTTGCCTATCGAAATAGGAGAGCTTCGAAGACTTAGATATCTTGTCTGTGATTATGGGATTGAAGTCCTGGCGGAAATAGGGAATTTGTCATTCCTGCAAAAGCTTGGAACGATAGGGGCAGACAAAGTCAATGGCAACATTATAATGAGAGAGGTAGGGAAACTTACCCAACTAAAATCTTTGAAAATTTTAGGGTTGAGAACAGAAGACGGAAAAATCCTATGCTCGTCTCTTGAAAAACTGGGCAACCTCCGTACATTGCGTGTTGATGCATTTGAACAAAAAATGGAATGAGTTTGAGTTGCTTGATCTAAAGACATTATCTTCAGGTCCTCCACTTCTACAACAACTTTACTTGAGAGGACATCTTGAGGAGACACCACGTTGGATGGCTTCTCTTCATAGTCTGGTCTCGGTAAATCTAGACAGGAGCAAATTAAGGGATGACCACCTACTGCAATGGCTACAAGATTTGCCAAATCTCCAGCGTATGTCATTCCAAAATGATGCGTATGTTGGGGAGGAATTATGTTTCAAGGCTGGAGGATTTGAGAGTCTCAAATATTTAGGTCTTTTCGGATTAAAAGAACTGAGATGGGTGAGATTTGAGCAGGGCGCCATGCTTCATCTTGAAGAGCTAAAAATTGGGCACTGTGATTTGATGGGGTATCCATTTGGAATCGAACATCTAACCAACCTTCGATCAATTGAGCTAGATGAAGTGGATAAATTAAAGCCTCAGAACTTGTCAGATAGAGATAGAGATGATGCATGGGATGACAACAAACTTGCACACATCCCTCATAGGGATATCTGGAGTTGCCACAGCACATAACCTTTGCATGGACGTCTTCGAATAAAAAGGAGAAGTTGAAATCACTGTCTCGTGGCTAGACTCGTGGTGGAGGTGGTGGTCGTGGTCTAGGCATTATGTTATAATTTTGGATTGATATCATCTAGTGATGTAATATTTGAAATAATATCAAGATCTCTTATTACCATGTGCAATCTTTGATTAAGTCTCTACTTCAAATTTGTTTTTCTCTTTGGCTAAAGATCTTAAGCTGTCCAAATTGATAGTGTCTCAACCAAATTTGCTTGATTAAATGGATGATTAATTCAAATCTTGCACAATGCTTCTCCCTCAATAAGATGGTATTTGTGATCAATGTGTTCTTCTCCATATAATCCATGAACACCACCAATTTCTCAAGCTCACCATAGAACCAATGCCTCCAATTGTTACGCTACTTATTTATTTATTTGGATAGGTAAGTTATGTATGAACAATATTAATCATTTTTTTTGGAATGGGAGGGGAGGGGTGGGGGGACTTGAACCTTTGACTTCAAGAAGACAAAGTATTCATAAGGTAAGGAATACCATTAGACCAAAGGCCCGTTGGTGTACGAACAATATTAATCAACCAAGCACGTAGAGGAATAATAGGGCAGACCTTCTAACGCCAATCGAGCCCATAGGACGAGTAAATTACCCCATTGAAAGCTTACAATGCATTGCTCATGTGTGTTGCTAAGTTCTCTCTATTTGGCGGCTTTTGTTTTGACAAAAACCCGAAAATCCTTCTAATTCATGTCGTCCTAAGTTCCTCACCGTAGAAAGAAAGGATTCTGTTTTTCAAGTAGGGGTGTTAATTGATCAAGTTTTGTGAGTTTGAGCCTGAGTTTATCGAGTTCGTTTTTCTAAATGATTTTAAAAAATTCTTTAAGTTTAGTTTGTTTAGAAAATGACATGAGCTCAAGTTTTCATGCTTGGATAAAACCCGAATAACTCGATTATTTTACATGTAAACAAGTCGAGCCTTTTATACTCATTTTTTTAAACTAACCTGAAAAATTGTTTAAGTTTAACTTATTTAAAAGCTTAACCAAGTCCGAGTAATTCGTCAAGATTAACATCCCCTGATTTTCAAGTGCGAGATTTGCTTTGTAGGGTTGCATAGGATTTGGAGGGTGAGATTTGGCAAAATAGTTCAAGAAGCCTTAAAAACTTTGAATGGTTGGAGATGTTGGGGCCAGGATTTAGAGAATTTTTTGTTTAAGGCACGAATGCTACAGACTATAGTTGATTGAAGCCCACATATGTAGGTTTAGGCTTGAGCAAACTTGAAGCAGGTTTGGGTTTGAAGGTTGGGTAGCTTGGATGAGTTGGTATAAAGACATTAGTGCCCCAACCATAAATATGGATTGTATTGGACAATGATCAAGTTTATCAATTTCATACTAGCAAATGATGATAATGGTTGTGGTTGATTTAACATCAATCTGTGCTTATTTACCTGAGAATTTTATTTTTTTTTGGGTCCCACAAGAACTTAAATAAACTTAGATAACTCAAATACCTTCAAATATTTTAAAGAAATTATTTGGGGTGGGGGATGAACACGCTTTAGTTTAGAAGTTTTTGTCTGTTAAGTCGTAATTATCCTTATTACGTGGTTGTATATTTTTTCATAAAATTTTGGTTATATGTAAGAGTGTTTTTTTTTTGGCATAAACAGTGAAGGAAAAAGAATAATGCGACTGCGTCATAA